AATATTATTATATTTCGCATTACAACTACTGCTAATATTAAACATAGCCATATATATATATGAATATACGTAAATATTGTATGTACATATATATATGTGCGTCAAATATTCTAAACAAGCAAATATCAATCAGGGTATGATTATATTGTACAATTACAATTATAAAAAAATTATATCAAATAATTCGTAATGTATAACACAATATATCGTATACAACTGGCGTGTCCGAATCATAAGAAGTTCCGTTGAAAACAATAAGAAGGTTTTCCGACACTTTTATTACGGCGGCGGTTCAGGCGCCGTGAAAAATGAAGGCATCAACGCGGTAGAGCAGTATGGCGCAGAAAAATATTTCAAAATGTCGACGTCGGTATCAAAGAGCGTTTAAGACTGCTTAATTCTCCTCACTTGGAGACGGTAACGGCAGCTGCTGAGGCAGATATGCTGCGCAGAAAACGCTGACAACCCTTTACTAATGTTCGCAATTCCTTATTCCGCGGAGATCATTTATAAAATGCCACGAGCTACTTGTCCACCGAGATCCCAGGATAATTTGTTTGGAATTTGGTCTGGAGATTACAGAAAGTGTAACGCCTTGATTAATACCGCGACGAGATTCGAGAGGTGAATCGAGACTGGATTATGAAGAGTTCTCTTGCGGTGAGCATCGATTATGCATGGCACGCTTGATTTGTCTATCTCTTCTTTCCGCTCTTTTTTCTCTTTAACTCTTCCTGTTCCTCTTTAACCGTAATTCAGTTTCGTTGTCAAGCTGAAGACTACATCATGCTTCGCGACGAAGTCCGATTTCGTTAAAAAATTGGTCATATCTCTTCTAACGTTATGCAATGTAAAAAAATGGATATAGCTGATAAAACGATTTTCTACAAAGAGTACAGAAAATAATATGATGGGACTCATGTTCAGAACAGTGGAATTTCTCTTGCGTCAGAAAATTACTGTAATTTTAATACAGATGATATACCATTTCATCGATATCCGCTTAGAAGATCGTTCGGCTTGCGATCTGCTCGTAGGGCTCTCCTACGCACCGTATACTTTATGGCCCGGAAAATTGAAATTTTACTCCGGTATAACATTACGGAAATGTGGTGCTACATTTGAAAATTGTTACGCTATTCACTGAACCATTAAACGTCGTACGGCAAGTCAATTAAGGGAATTTCCCCAATCTAACTTATTTTCAATTCACAGGAAATATAATCCAGCCACACATCTGCCGTAAAAAAAACAGTCAATGTTTTCGCTTCCGTGAAGCTTGTATAATTCCTTCAAAAAATCTCGATAAAAATTATATTCTCTCACGTCACTAAAAAGTTCAGGAATCCCTAGAACCGGTTACTGAAATATCTATATCTTTCTTTTTATTAATCTCTTCAGGCATGTGCGCATATAAACATATATACGTGGACAGAGACGTGTTGGTTTTGTGAATCTTGCATTGTGCGATATAGATGGGTGGACAGGTCAGGCTATGGTATCCACTGAAAAAAAACCCAATCCCGATCGTCTCGCGAATAAACGCATCTCTGTGAATAATCTTTTCTATCTTCTCAGGAATTTAAAGATGCAAAATCGCTTCTGTGTAGATACTCGTGCACTTACTGCGAGCCGCGCGATACTTCGTAACAAATAAAGTGCACGGACTCGGCAACAACGGCAGATTGTAAGCAGACACCTAATTCAGAATTAGCTTAACGCCTCTGGATTTCTTTGTAATCCGATTCCCCGGTATTAGGCTCTTTGAAACGCTTCGCATCATATATATATATGTCATCTCATATATCCCAGACGAAAAGGTAAATTTCTCATCTGGATAATTCGTTAAAAAATCAACTCGATTCTTTGGACGAGTTGCATTTGCAATACTAAATCAATACATGTTGCAGAGAGGATCGAAGCAATTCGAAAAATATTAAATGTCCATTTTGCAAATGCAACAGAATACAAATTTTACATTTTCAATACAAAATGCCTACGTAAGTCCCGCGATGCATAAATTATATATTCATAAGGCGATAAGATATAATTTGCAAACAGTTGGAGTGTACTCAAATTAATTCCACTTACTTTGAAATATAACAAACGAAGTTGCAAATGTTTCGACTCTGAATTTGAGTGCTCTTCAATACAGAAATCAGGTACAAACTAATTTACGCCTAAGAACCGCGGAAACTTAGGCACGTTACTTGTATTAAATTTATTCTTGAAGCTTCCCCCCCCCCCCCCAATAAAACTATTAACTTTATTTAATTTACTTTATACATTTTTTAATTGTGCAGCTTATTCGAATTTTCAATATCGCGACTTCAGATGATTGAAAAATATCTAATATCCTTAGCATCGTGGTTTATTGTGCGGCAAATATGATAGAACCGTCACGAAAGAAAACGAGAAACTGGACGGAGCAAAGCCACCCCGGGCTACCAGCGAGTATTGAAATATTTCCGACGGAATTCCCATAAAACGCAGTTGGGATACGAATGAATGAACGGTCTGCGTCCTACCGCGGCCGCCATCGTCGCCGGGGATTCATAATTCTTTCGGGAAACTTTTTACTATCATTTTCCACCTGCCGATCGCCATTCTCACCTGAAATAAAGGCCGCCGATGGCGTACACGAGCTATTGTTCGTCGATGTCGAAACACTTATTGATCCATCGATGCAGACGACGGTTTATCGATAGGTCAACCTTTGCTACTTGCATCCGCCCGTGTATCGGCATCAACTGTGTCTACGTGCAACAATCTGCAGCGTGACGTTCCATATTTATGTTAGCACCTAGCTGATGGTTTGCGCGCAGTAATTTGTTAGCGCGATGACAAGAGAGAGAGAGAGAGAGAGAGAGAGAGAGAGAGAGAGAGACTGCCTGCGAGCGTTTCGTCCAAGCTCGCGGCGTAAAGTTAGGCCGGTGTCACGGAGCTGTAACTTTTCCGAAACTGATGTTCCTCGGACGTTCTTTTTCCGTCGCGTGAAGAAGGTCGCGTCCCAGTTTCCGCGAGAGTAACGAACGCGCTCGGAAAAGACTCTCGTTAATTTATTCAAAACGTAATCGAGTTTCCGGAAACGAAGTTCGGTGACTTGTTACACGGGAATACTTGCCCCGAAACGAAGTTCCGAGCGACTCCAGGAGATTCGTTCGGAGTTTTTACATTTCTCAGAAAACTGCTTGATATTACAGAGCGCCCGTCACCGGAAATAAATCGTAGAACGTAAATAGAATTGCAGGCCGCGGCGCGTTAGCCCATATTTTGCCCATTTAACGTTAAACCGCTGTCGCGTCGTCCGCGCTGATCAATCATAAAAGTACACTATTAAATATTAAAGGATTAAAGTTGAACAAATTTAATTCTTTAATAATACTTTGTCATTTTTAATTTTTAAATATATCAAAATGTATTATTTTAATTCAAAACATTTGGTTAAGAAAACAACCGCAGCCATTCAAACCATTTCTGTGGTTAAATCGCTTAATTTCAAAGTAAACAGCGTTTCTTAATGCATTTAGTAAATAATAAACTAAAATCGAAATAAATTAATGTATTTCTTAAGTAAAAAATGTTTGACTTCATAGTTTTAGTTAAATTAACTATATATTGTGTAGAAGCGGTAACCTCTTATACGGTGATTAAAAATAACTTAAATTGAGTGTAATTTAACATTATGAGTATTTAAGGATGTATCAGGTGTATAGTCTCTGAAATAAAGTGCAAAAAGTTATTGGAATTGTAAATTTATACTTTTCGTATAAAAATAAATGTTATACATACACATATAAAACAGTTTGCTAAGATCAATATTTATATTTAGCAATACAATTTTATAGCTTAAATAAAAATTTTTTACACTTTATCACTATATAAAAAAAAAAAGAAAACCTTCGACTTCTTATTGAAATAATTCTTTATTCTAAATCGCTGCCAAATTTTTTGTATTATTTTCAAATACAATATAGAAAAATGTGTAATTTTTTCATAAACTTTTCAGCTTATTTTTTACAAAAATAAATGTAATACAAAAATAAATGTAATACATCCTTAACAATGCATATACGGAATTACAAAACTGTTACGCTCACCGAAAAAGATTTTCGCGCAATCGTTTCCCTAAATCTTTACAAATGGTTTGTATAACACAATCGGAACGGCCAGCTGTGGCCAATTTATTCGACGATACCTCGCAGATAGCCTGAGCCTTCGATTTTTATCGGATTCTGTGGTCTTGTCCGATGATTGCAGTTTTAATCAATGCGCGATGTAACATCTGTCAGCAAAACAACTGCGTGCGTGCCGCACCGGTGTGAACGAGCGAATCGACTCTCGATTACGATAATCGCATTGATTGTTTACAAGTCAAACTCCGAACGGCAGTAATTAATTCGATTTGAAATCGGAAGATCCGCAAATTGTGAGCGTGCAAAAAAACACGCGCGATTGTTAAACGATCGAAACATCAGGCGCCGTAAAATGAACGATAATGTAATCAGTGTGCGAAAATCAAACGAAAAATACGACAGATTTGCCAAATACGCGCCGTGTTTTGCCAAGATTGGAAATTCCAAGCGTAAAATGACTGATGCTCCAATTATCGATTTGTGCAGTGCAACGAACACGGGAATTTTGTTCATTCGTGAACTGTTTCCGCATTCGTTGTTAACGAGTC